CCCCAAAACCCCAAAACCCCAAAACCCCAAAACCCCTCCAAGTGTGATTTAATTGAACTTAATCTCCCTTCTTTCCTTCGAGCATTGGAATCACATGGTTTAGAACTCTGTTCAGCATTTCAAAAATAACATATTAAGCCTCATATTTTAGGAGCTCTTGGATATTTAATACATAAATTAGGGGCTTCTCAGCCAGATAGCTCATATTAGTATCTAAATCAGCCCCAAGAATTTTTAATGATGTAAAGAATAGAAAGATTCAAACGAAAAATTCTAGATTTTTCTCTAATATATACTTGAAATAGAAATCAGCACAAATTTTATATTGAGAAAATACTGAAGAGGCTATATACCCCTCATACAGAAGCACTGATGTTGATGATCAACTTCGCATAAGAATTTGTACGCTTTGTAACTCTCATAGTCAGCGGAGAGAAATCGTAAAACAGAGAAACTCCAGAAACATCTATATGCTTCTTCTTATTATGGTTCAGGGAGTAACTATAAGTATACAGATCTTTCTTCTCTGACTGGTCGTATATCACATGTGGGACTGCAGTTGCATAATAAACTACATGAGAAGGCTCATCATTATTCATATATTCGCTCTGATCGATATCCCCAATACGATCAAAAAGACCTTCATCTTCCTCAAAAGCGTCCATGAACATTGGATCTTCCTCCATCAGAGCTACTTGAGAGGCACTTTTGAACTTCAAAGAGTGGAACTGGTGTTTCTTAACCACGATGTTATACCCTTCAGCATCTGTAAAGGCAAGCACGAAGGGATTTACCATAGTGGCAAAAGTAATAGAGCCAAGTGTCTTTGGCACAAAGACCTTGGCATATAAATTTCATGACTCATTCTCTTTAAAACTTTTCTTAATCAGATCTATTATTTCTTTCTCATCATCTATTTTTTCGAGTTCTTCTTCGAATGTGTTGTCTGCCAGATATTTAGTAACACCGTCCTCTTCGAAAATCCTGACTTTATGGAATACATTATTAACAGAGATAATACTGCTGTCGACTTCTGAAGTGATCATCGGGTTAATTATAAGTCATGAGATATCGTAAAGAGTAAGATTCATTTCCATTATCGCTAAATTGCCATGGATATGATCATTTTCTACCTTGACTTGGTTAATAACAGAATTAAGAGAACCCTGGAGCGCAGACTTATTCTCAAAGTTAACGATCTGGTATACAACAACTAGCATGAGGATAAGCAATGAGATTAAAGAGATTATGCCTCCACAGACAGTAGACTTAGTGCTACTTGATTTTGGAGTTCTGAAGAAATCTAAATTTTTCATCTTTGAGATGAGCAGCCTTTTATATATTATTTAGTTGATTGGGGTTTTGGGGTTTTGGGGTTTTGGGGTTTTGGGGTTTTGGGGTTTTGGGGTTTTGGGG